GTTGGCTCTTCTAACTAACATTCTATCCAGGTAGCTAAATACCCGGGTAAAACGCCAATTAAGAGCCCACATCCACATTTCCCACCCCGGGGTGATCGATCCGGTATCTATCGACGAGACCAAACTCTTCGATCAGATCAACCAGGCTACGATCGCCACTTCTCCCGCTAGCTCCCCACTCCCTAACTAACTTGCGGTCCAGGATGACATTCCAGTCCTCCATTAAAACTAGGCCCGTTGAATCCACCAGGAATGGCCTCAACTGCCGAACAAACGAGACCCGCTCCTCATGGTCGTTGGGCGCATAAACCGCAACGTCTCGGAACGAACCACTTTTCACGGTAATATCGGCCACGATCAATCGGCCATCAGCACCAGTATGCACAAGGTCCACCTTCGTATCAAGAGTACGTCTAACCAGCAAAGAAACTCCTCTGGAACGCCGGTCCCCATATGCTGAATAAACGACCAAGTCGCTCTCCAGCACACAACCATCGACGTTGGAAACAAAGTGGGTCTCTTCGATCGCGGCGACATTCACGCCGAAAGACAAGAGAACCCGGAACAGGCGGGGTGCCTTAACCCGATCCCTCAAGCCCTTCGCATTCAAAGTGGCTATCTTAAACATCTTCTAGGCTTAAAAGAAAAGTTAGAAAAGAAAATGACCTAGACACATACGGGCCGGAAATCTGCAGCGGATAGGACCCTGACTGATTGTCCCATGGTTCCCTGTCACCATCTCTGTCGTCATGTGGCCATCTAGGACAATGCCTCCGACGTCCGTGGGATATGTTAGCTTTAGAGCCCTGTATAAAGCGGGATGGTGTATAACGGGGGCCCTCGCGATGCAAAACTTTTGCAATTTTTTTCAAATCAGGAGACCCCCATCTCTACCATTCTAATATCTGGGAAGGCCTCCTTACGCTCCCAATGGTGATCGCATATAGTTAATCCCCTTCTCACGTCCCTAATCACTGTTAGGACACCTGAAGCTTTCGGGAAATTTTTTTGATCTTCTATTGACACCCCACTGACCCAAGTCATTTTAAAGAGAGGCCTTAGAAAAGCTTTTTGTTGCGAGGAAAGGCCCCGATCCATAGTGTTCCTGTCTACTTGTCTTTTTCCCTCTAGGGAATGGCTTCTTCTTTTTCCGGGAAGTGCTCAGTGGAGTTGGTGGGGGTAGAGTCAGAAGGAGGGGTGTTGGAAGGAGGCGTGTTCGGAACGGGTTTTTTAGGGGAGGGGTTTTGGCTGGAGTGTTGGGAAGTGAGGAAAGTGGATCCCTAATAGGGGAACAAGAAAGACTCCTTTTGTTTTTCAGTTTTTTGACTAGGGAAGCAGGGACAGAGTTGGACTTAATTTTGTCCAAAGCCTTCTCCGTCCTGCTTCGACCAGCCCGTTTTTCTTTCTTGGACACTTTTTCCTCTTCCTCTTCTCTCCCTCTTTTTAAAGAGGCAGGCCGCAGTGGGGTCGTCTCCTCCATTTCATCCTCTTGTTGCTGCTTCAGTTGAGGGTCCTTATGCTGCATCTTCTATGACTTTTCCTTCTGCTGCCCTTGCTGAAACTCCTGCTCCAATTGCTTCTTCTCTTCGCTCTTTTGTTGCTGCTGACGCTGGTCGCGTTTCTGCTCCTGAAGGGGCTCTTTGGGACGTCCTGCTGATGTGAGGGGGATGCAACCTTTGTTCCCTTCTTTACCACTTCCGTCCATTCTCCAGGAACTTTTTTGTTACTTTGTCAGCGCTTTCCTTGGTCGTTGTATTTTCCGGTTGCTGTTCCGGTCTCTTTCCAGGACACGTTTTGGATAGATGACCGGCCGCTCCACAGGGCTAAAAAAGAGAGCGTCGTCCTTCGACAGTTACATAGATGGGTCGTCCTTCACAAGTAAGCACATTTGGAATAGGCAAAATATTTTTCCTGGTAACCGTTACCATGACTTCTAAATATTCAGTAGCTATCCCGGCCTTACTTTTGATATCTGAAACACTAGCCACCTCGCCAAATTTAGAAAAGAAAAAGCCCAAGTGGTCAAATCAAATAAACAGTTGAACTCCATGCAGGATTACTTTAGTTTTCCTTGTTCCAAGGTACTCCGTTTGGAGCCTCACTGTCTTGGTTGTCGATATACTCCCCGCCAGTGACTTAGCTGCGTCCTCTGATGCCAGCAGGATATCCCGCATAGATCTGCTTCCTTGGGCTAAAACTTTAATGTTCAGGTTTTTGATTGCTTCCTCCATTACGTCCCTGTTAACTCCAATCAGTTTGAGAGTCTTGACATCCGTAGTTACCAAGGAGATAGTTTGGGTGTTCACCCTTCTAGGAGAGATGAGAGCGGTGCCAATTCATTCTCCTACACAAAATTTTCAAACTTCTCCGAGAATTCCTTATAATATTCGGGTTCTTTTTGAGTTGGTTTATCACCTGCCAACACCGAAGGGGTTGCTGGTGTGGGTGTCTCCTCTTGGAGTTGGGACTGCGCCATAGTATTGGCGTTGCCACAATATCGGTTGGAAACACCGTTCGAGCACAAAAAGAAGTCATAGAAAACAATCTAGGTACATTGGATACAAAACAGCAATTAAAAAGACGTAACGACACTTACTTTGAGTCAATGTAACGCACGGAAATTTCAAAGGAATAACCGACGTAGAGACTGACATGCAATGAACGCGGTAGCAAAAATACACGAATTTTGTCCCCCGATTCGAGAACACCAACTGCTTTTATCAACGAGCATTTTTTCCATTTGTCGACAACTGGGAGAGGACGCCCAATTTTTGCATATCAAAATACTTTTATAGCGACTCCTGCGACGGACTTGGTTTTTAATTTAAATATTCCGTCTTCAGCATGTCAAGGGAAATGCGTGCCCTTTCTTTTGGTAAGTAATTTTCTTTTTCGCCACATTTTCCATCGTAGGATACACGCGACGCGCTGTCGCTTGGTTTGACGAGGTAAGTCGCCGTTTTCTTCGCAATAATTAGTTTATTTTCTCGCACTTCTCCCCCGCGGAACTTTATTTCTGTTTCTTGTTTCTCTGCCAGCTAGAAGTATTAAAAATTTAAATGCAACATCAATCACTATTTTCTCTCTCCTTGAACCTTGCTCTTTTATTGTCCTTTCTCTTAAACAAAGTTTTGTCATGTTCATACCTTCTCAGTAAGCCCTTACGTTTTAATGTCATTATCGCCTTGATTGGAGTGAAATGATTTAAGAAAAAAAATTCTAACGTATATTTGAAGTTTACTCAGGTCTTATTTTTTACGCGTGGACAGTTTAACGATATGTTTCCGAAAAATAACGTACTTTATTTTATCTTGGTTCAAATCATGGATGAATGTCAAAGAAATATTCAACACTGTTTCTCCGTCGGGTTTAATTTGAGAAAAGTTCAAAAAAGATAAAAGACAATGGTTCACGGACTTTTAATGTAAGGAGACTTTACGAGAGTTAAATTTGAGACGTTCAGCTCAAAGACAAAGAAAGAACACAGTAAAAGGTTAAATCAGCTCCATTTTGAAGGATGATGCATCATCAAAAGCTGAAAATGAGAAAGAAAGGCTTGAAAAATATGATACTCCCAGGGCTGATAGAAGGAAAGAGAGACAAGGGAGAGCAACGGCTTACATACTTAAATGTCACACATTTTGAAATGGACAAAGTCCAACAATTATTTTTGAGACATTTTTATGTTTATACATTCTTTTTATAGATACAAATAGTTAAGTAAATCCTCTGTTTATAATAAACAGTATTAAACAACGTTTACCGGCTTGAATGTCCGAGAAATTTTCATAGGAATCGAACCTGTATCCTATACGGAACCGTCATATAGCCTGACGTGCCACAGAGGAGCATTCGGCTAGCAAGGTCGATTTTACTGTCTTTAAACTACAATCTTCCATGATTCTCTCACGTAAATTCATATCTGCTCATGGCGTATCCAAATGTAAACAAATGACGTCACACATTATGAACGGGACAAAGTCCGACAATTATTTTTAAGCAAGTGAATGGGAAAACAGTGTCTTGGAAAAGTAACAAAAAGACAAATCTTATTGAGTGCTACAAGGAGCAGGAAGAGGTGGAGAGCCATAATCGCCTATGTCCTGAAAGAACATGGTTTTTGTTTGAAAGCATTTCCTCGTGTTAAAAATGCAACACTACAAACTATCGTGTGGTACTGTGAAAAAAAACCCCAAAAAGACAAAAACTTCCACATGGGCCAGATTCTCCAGATCTGTATATACTCAGATTAATATGGGATTTGCTCCATAGAAAATATAACGATGTCCTAGAATATTCAATGCAATCACAATCAGAAGCGTTCTTACAAGATTTATCCGAAAGATGGCAAAGGGTTATACGAATCGAATGAAAATAATTTGACAGAATTACGATGTTATGAATTTATATGAAATATTATGTTGCAAATGTGCGTGTAAAATGTACAAAATTGATTAGATAGATAGATAGATAGATAGATAGATAGATAATGAACATGATATAGATAGATAGATAGATAGGTAGATAGACAGAAATTTGTCTAAACTAGATAGATAGATAGGTAGATAGATAGAAATTTATCTAAACTAAATAGATAGATAGAAATGTGTCTAAACTAGATAGATAGAAATTTGTCTAAACTAGAAAGGTAGATAGAAATTTGACTAGATAGAAATTTGGCTAAACTAGATAGATAGATAGATAGATAGAAATTTGGCTAAATGAGATAGATAACTCGTGTTTGTCCTATTAGAAAACGCCAAATACTAGAAGAAATTATGCAAACGCTACATAATGTTCCTCTACAAAACTTAATTTCAGATTCTTGAAGCCCATATCCTTAAAATAAATGTTCATGTACATGTGCACACATATACAACCACACGGAACGTGTGCGATATGATAAATAAATGAATAAACTATAATGAAGTTAAAAAGTATTTTCCACATCAGAGAACATCCATAATCTACATAATTACCCCTGTGCTAGACTAAGTTAAATGGTATCTATCTATCTATCTATCTATCTATCTATCTATCTATGTTGCTTCATTATCCAGCTAGCTAGCTTGCTAACGAGTTTTTTTTCCATTTTCTTATCTATCTATCTATCTATCTATCTATATTGGTTTATTTATATAGTTAGCTAACTAGGTTTGTCCATTATCTATCTATCTATCTATCTATCTATCTATCTATCTATCTATCTATCTATCTATCTTATTTTTAAACTAAAGAACTTTGACTTCAATATGATCTTAAATGAGATTCTAAAATATTAACTCATTTATCCAAAAATCACAAAGAGCAAGAAATTCATTTATCTGTAGCTTTGTGTGTGATGATTTCCACATAAGCAATTCACAAGTTCCGTTTAAAAAAACCCCAAAAACAAAAACAAACAAAAACTAATAATAAAACAAAATAAACTTATTCCTGTTTGTGCCAGAAACATGAAATATTACTTGTAGAAAATGATTCAGTGGCTTTAAATTCAGTGTTATTCTGATCTCGTGCAAATTGCCAACCCGGTTTAGAGAGCCGAAGACAACCCTATTATTTTACCCATAGATGTGGGGAAAAGAGTCCCATTCATCGAAACAACCAATACAATTTATCACATTAACTCGGCTTTCCCATTCCATTTTAAGAGACAGACTTTCATGTTATTCGACCATCTTTTACATCACAGACGCAACTGACATATATTCAGGTGTTTAACTGTAGATCGCTATAAGTAGACACCTATTTCCCCATATGTTTCCCTTAGAAGCGTTATAAAGAGATTTCACAACCGTAAATTAAATTAATTATCTACTACAAAATATTATAAGAGTTAACCTTATCGCCAACAAAACCAAGTCACCTGCAACATCGAAACTACAGGTAAGCAATATTATCTCTGAATTCATATGTCCCTTAAGGAACTGCCTTCTAATCAAAACAAATACATGAATAATTATACGGGATATACCAGTCGGACCCTAGCTCAATTGGGACTCATTTAAACAAAGATACCTACCAAACTTCATTCGCCTCATCCAAGTTTAAGAAAAAACTAAAACAATGGAAGCACTAATAATAAAAAGAAAAAAAAGAAAACACTCAGTAACGACAACTATGGACACGGCCACAATGTGCTGGCAGTGTTTGGAAAAAATACATTCCTATCACTCTAAAATCATATATAAAAATCTACACATTCAGTTTAAAATAAGAAAAAAAATCCTCGGTAATGGCTACTAAAATAGCCGAAAAAGCTCTGATATGCAGAAAATTATGAAAATTTATACGCACTTTATGAAACACAAGAAAAAGTAAATTAAAAAGCTTTATCGCAGTACCTTGTCAGTCGTCTTTGATGAAACTCGTATAAAAGAGGATTGATTTCCAAATACCATTTTTCATATGTATATATGAAAAGAATGTATAAACAAAAATGTATATATATATATATATATATATATATATATATATATATATAAATATATATATAATAGAGCCATTATATTGTTCTTTTTTTTTGGTTGTCACGTGGTCATGGTTATTTTTGGCCGGCATTTCCCTGACGATCCGTTGAGGTGAAACGTAGGCAAGTTTACCTTGCTCTTTAGGTTTATATTAGGTTTGCTCTACTTAGTGTATTGATCACTTTGCTTAGTTGCTTTTAATCGTTTTGGAGGAATTTTTTTCTTTGGACTCTGAGCTTGAACTCTGGACGATTGTTTTCGGCTCAATTTCATGTTCTTAATTCTGTCTTTTTTTATTCCTCATTTTCCTTGGGTATTGGTTTGTTCTACTACAAGCCGAAATACCCAAGGTTTTTTTCAAGCAGTACCACCATTTATATATATATATATATATATATATATATATATATATATATATATATATATATATATATATATATATATATATATATATATATATATATATATAACCAATGTGATGAGAAAATAATATAATTTCTAACGTCTACAACATTAATTCAAATGAGGGCTCAATACCAAGAGTAGAGCAATAATTATTTATTATAATTTTCACATACGGACAAAACAACTTACTCACTACAAAGATGCATTCTTGTTTCGATGTGCATTCATCTCGACTGCTGAAAACCAAAAATGTTACAAACACACACACACACACACACACACACACACATATATATATGACAAAGTGTCAAAGGTTTTCGTGGGATGCGTTTCGTCTCTAAGAATTTAATCGGACTAGGATTGTTTACGTTAAAGCAACTACATATGTGCACGAACGAGAAACACTGTGAATTTTCAGTTTTGAAAATATTTTGATTTTTCTTTTAATAATCTGTTTTGGGTTTTATTTCTTTAATAATCTGTTTTGAGTCCATAATCTCGCTAGTTTAATTTTCAGATCGTATTTGTAATAAGCACAGTGTACATTTTCTTTGCTGAGGCTAAAAGTTTTGGTTATAGCGATGAGATCCCAATTTGCTGCAGGTATCTGTCTTATAATTCTTGCTATGTTGGTTTTGACATTACTGCAAAATCAATCATCTCGCAGGAATTTCAAATAATTGGAACAAATTAGTGTAGCCGTTGATAACTCCAATAATTCTAGTAATAAAGATATTTTCAACAAATATAAACCTAAATATATAGCTGCACTAATAAAAAACAAGCACAAAGTGAATCTGGAATATCTTGACAATAATAAGACAGACAAAATGCATAAAGACAGAAAACGCAACATAATTTGGTTTAATCCACCATTTAAACAGTAATGCACAAGACTAACATAGCTAAAAATATCCTTAATTTAATCCACATAATCTACTACTCAACAAGATTTCAACAAAAAAACATTAAAATTAGCTACATCTGTACAAAATAACCTTGAACAGTATATAGCATAACACAATAATTTAATATTAAACAAATATTTAAACACCTTCAATAGTTTAAAGATGAGGTATTATAAAAATTATTTACATTATTCCCTTCTTTGTTGCCAATTTATTACAACATTTAGGCCTTTCAGTCTATCTATATTTCTGAGATGAGGTATTATGTAAATCTTTTTTGTCACCATATTTATTACAACGTTTCGGCCTTTCAGTATCTGTCTATATTTCTGAGATCATTATTATTTACATTATTCGGATTATTGTCCTCATCTTTGTCACCATATTTATTACAACGTTTCTGCCTTTCAGTATCTGTCTATATTTCTGAGATGAGGTATTATGTACGTTTACATTATTCGGATTATTGGCCTCATCTTTGTTGCCATATTTATTACAACGTTTCGCCTTTCAGTATCTGTCTATATTTCTGAGATGAGGTATTATGTACACTATTTACATTATTCGGATTATTGTCCTCATCTTTGTCCTCAACGTCTTTGTATCTGTCCATGATTTATTACAACATTTTCGGCCCCTCATCTTTGTCACCATCTTCCTGTCTATATTTCTGAGATGAGATATTATGTACACTATTTACATTATTCGGATTATTGGCCTCATCTTTGTTGCCATATTTATTACAACGTTTCGGCCTTTCAGTATCTGTCTATATTTCTGAGATATTATTATTTTCGGATTATTGTCCTCATCTTTGTCACCAGTTTCGGCCTTTCAGTATCTGTCTATATTTCTGAGATGAGGTACACTATTTACATTATTCGGATTATTGTCCTCATCTTTGTCATTATTTAAATTTCGGCCTCAGATCTGTCTATATTTCTGAGATGAGGTATTATGTACTATTTACATTATTCTTTGTCCTCATCTTTGTTGCCATTTTATTACAACGTTTCGGCCCTTCAGTATCTGTCATATTTCTGTCTATTTATTTCTGACTATTGTCCTCATCTTTGATGATTACAACGTTTCGGCCCTTCAGTATCTTCCCTATATTTCTGAAAGATTATTTTTACATTATTCGGACTATTGTCCTCATCTTTGTTGCCTCAACGTTTCAGCCCTTCAGTATCTGTCTATATTTCTGAGATGAGATATTATGTACACTATTTACATTATTCGACTATTGTCCCTATCTTTGTCGCCATATTTATTACAACGTTTCGACAGTATCTGTCTAACCAACTATTGTCCTCATCTTTTGTTGTCAAGGTTCAATAAAGGCGTTATCTAGTGACAAGAATCAAAGAGTGTGAGTTCAATACCCGGTTAAGGCAGTGGAGAACTTTCAGAGGGAAATTATCAGGAGATAACTGATAACTGACATCCATTAAGACATGGCACGTGCAACTAGAACAATCTACCTAGTGAGCGAAATAAAGTATTCAGTTCGACATTCCAACCGGGAAGTACGGAACGTACAACGGCCGAAATGTTGTAATATGGCGACAATGATGAGGGTAATAGTCCGAATAATGTAAATAATGTTCAATTGTACTGATAAAAATTGTAATTGTCGAAAACATAGTACCTGTCCACTAAATTGTAAATGCATGAATGAAGGCGTTATTTACAAAGTTAGCATTTTATTTTGCTTCCACTGCTAACCATTGGGAAACCCCGTATTTCGAACATAAGATAAAACTTACCAATAAGAAATATTCAAATTACCCGACACTCTCTAAATTTTTCTGCGATATTAAAACAGATAACTACACACCTGCAGTAAATTGGGATCTCATCGCTATAACCAAACCTTTTAATATCAACAAAGAGAAATGCTCGATTTTCAAACACATCGATAATCATAATCTGCTGAAAAAGTGAAATGAACTTATGATTACATTCTGCCACAGAAGGAAGTCTCTTCTGAAATTTGTTGCTGATGGTTAGAGCAATTAAATTACCATCTCTGTAATACTTCAACTGACCTGCCTCTAATATGTTTTTTATTTTCTTCTATATCCAGTTACCTCCCTTACATAATCGTAGCGTTTAACTATTTTTATAACGTAGCGTTCCTTTTTTATTTTTTTAATTCGTTTTATTATTTTTTATTATTGCTTATTTCTTTTCTTTACCCAATATTCTTTTTAACCACCCACGGTTTTTATTTAGTAACTAACAATTTTGTTTAGTTACTATTGCAGTAATCCTATCCATTGGCTCAATACATATTAACAGATCAATATCCCTATTAAACTTACTATTAATTACTTTATTTTTCGTTATCTACCT